CTTCTGATTATATCAAGAAAAATAACAATAAACCGGTGCACTTTCAATAGGATTAGATGTTTGATAGCAGAAATTTCTCACTGATTACCCGATTAATTCAGTTCGTTTGGCTTCGTTCCCTCTTCGCACGGCTTCTCGGTAGCCGTTGAAAATCGACGCGATGAATGGTCGTGTATTGCACAGATCTGTGTTGCAAAAACACAAATGCTCATCACGTGCATACGTGAAGCATCCTTGATTCGGTGGCACTGACACCTTCAGATACGACGTCACCTTCAAGTTTGATGCAAATAGCATTTCGATAATTCGCGATATGTTGAGTAGGGTTTGCAAAATCCCGACGTTTTTTTCAATCTCGGGATCGATTTTCGATCCCGGGATGATTATCCCGGGATCGAACAACTTTTCAGATATCGATGCGTGACATGTTTAAAAACACTTTTTTAAACCAATATGTTCGTAACTAATCAGAAAGGAGTTAAAATCAACAAATTGTTGAACAAATACAACAGAACAAATTATTCAAATTCGAATTGATTGGTTCATATAACGATACTAATGATCATGCCGCAAGTATACTGCACTTTCTATGCACAGATAGGCATCTTGTCATCTCGGGTCTAAGCCAATAACAGTTCCCTTGCATGCGAGTATGAAGTTCTTGATTCTCAAACACCTATTTGCAATGCTTCAAGTTCATTTTCTCTCAGTGTTATTAACATCAGCTGAATTCTGGTATTTCGGAAATTTCGATTTTTCCGAAAGAAATGCATCGTATAAATCAAATCGTTTGAATTAAAAAAAACTAAATCTTCAGAGTTTATTTAAAAAGCGAGAAAAAAACATCCGCAATGGATTTTCATCTAACCATCAAGCACTTACATACTTACGATTAATAATTTCGATCAGAAATTATGGAAATGTACTTGACATTCAAGCTTAAGATCCTTTTGAATGGAACAATTTCGCTCACTTCAACAATGAATTCTCACAATGAGTGATCTCGATGAGAATTTATGGACATTTTGATCGAACGAAAATGATTCCAAATAGTGAAGTAAAGAGACTTGCAGTCTTTAGAAGTTCGATTAACAGACGGAATATTGAAGCCGAACAAATCTAATGGAAGGAAACGACATATTACATGTCACTGTGCAGCTCTCGAAATATTCTTAATCGTGGGAAGGAATTAACAAACGGATTCATCAACCCAAAATATCGTTAAATTTTGTTTCTCTTCGTTCTCATTAGAAAATGTGATTGTCTCCATTAGTCTACATAGAAATGCATCGAGATGAGCGTGATATAAACTAATGAAGAGCCGA